AGCGTTTTCCTAACGAGGTCGAACTGTTTGTCCGTGAAATATTGTCTAGAATAAATACACCCGAACATATATACAACCATTCTTCTCAATTGTATTCAAATAACCACTCATTCATTATTACAAAGCCAAAAGAGTATTTATGTTCATTGAAATTACTGATTTGAGTGAAATGACTACGAGTGTTCCAAATTACACACAAATCGATCAATCCCGATGACTGTTTATCTACGATGCACTGAATAATGAATACAGTGAACTGTTAACAATCATAAGGTGAAGAAACATTTATTCAAGTATAGAAATTCATTAAGATTATGAAAACTCTAGTCATAAAAACATCTAGAAGATAGTCAAAATTACACGTAATCAGATAGCCAACAGATCATAATTAGAAAGGAGATTGTGGACGTTCTTCCATCCATTTCTTGATGTTCGGTTGACTGCGGACATTTTCGACGAATTTGAGTAATAGAGGATAAGGTTCCAAAAATCCTGGTACCCAGTTTTGATATGTCAATAGCTGATCACTGATTACGATGTCAGCCCAGGTGAGCGAGTTGCCGACGAGGAAGTTACTGCCAGATTTCTCGAGGAACTTTGTGATGAGTGGCATGTGCTTGTCACGAGCTGGAATCAGCACTTCTTTTTCGATTTTGGCCTGCAAATGACGAACGGAAAGTTTTATTCGACGCTCGAATGCTCAATAAATTCACTGCATGACAAAGATATTCCGTAATAGCAGTCATAAACTGAGCGTAAAAAGAATTGGCCGTACGAATGATTCATTGTCAAGGCGACTTATTGAATCAACCCGTTCAATCCTACAAAAATCTCAATTAATGACCAATCGAGCAGATGAAGAAGGCTCACAGAGTTACTAAATAAATTTGTTGCATAAAATTGTGCGTACCTTGTCCCCTTCTTGCATACCAGCGTACACCATGAAGTATGGTTTCGCCTCAGCAGCGAAATCCTTCCACTCATCATAAATCGAATCCACCTGTGCCTCTTCCATCGGTGTCTTGCCAGCCAAACCGAACTGTCTGCCCAAGTATCTGTAGATGGCAGCACTCTGCGCGATCACGTCACCATCCACATCAAGTAATGGCATTTGACCGAATGGAGTGGTTGGTTTGAGCGCAGGCCAGTCCTCCTTCTTCACACGATGATCCTCGAATTGTACACCAGCTTGATGGAAAATGAGACGTGCACCCTCGCCGAGTCCACGAATATCGAAATATGTCAGCTTGTACGTCGGCATTTTTCTTAACGAAATCAGTAGAATATCATGGCAATGAAAAGGTCACCTATATATCATTTACATCGACCAACCATAATTATACCCAACGTAACGTTCAACAATACGGCCATTGACTGGTGTTAGCTCATCATAATACAACTAATCCAACGATTCCACCATAAGTGAGTTATCGAATCTCGGCATCTGAACCTCTCAGATGAACGTCCTAACTAGCAGCTTGCAAATTTCAGTATAAGCCCACGGCTCAATCAAAACACAACATTATCAGCATGATCAAGAAGAACATCAACTATACCTAAAAACTCCTAAACTTACCGATATACAAGTCTGTAAGTAACTTTCTCAAAACTTTCCCTAATCTAACATTTCCACTTTATTTTCAACACTGGATTCGCACTGCAATTAGCAGCAGCAGTGAAAAATGCTTTCCTAAAACTGGCAATCAATAATCTAACAAACATCTCTTGCGAATACACAAACGATAACTTGTCTTCAAATTCAAACTGCACTGATTTTGTTGTAATTCCTCGCAATTGGCTTCAAATTTTGTAGCTTTTATTACAGTCTCATCTCACAGAGACTTTCAAACGTTTAAAAATGGTTGCAAACACTCGATTGCACACAGTCATCTGTGCAAACAGCTGATTGACTCTTACTTAGCCACTCTAAGAGTTCATTTAGAAGATGAACAACTCACAGACCGTAACACATCCACGACTAATTACCTGGATCGGCCAGGCTATCAAACGTTTATAAAGTTGCTGGCCACAATGCTCGCGTTTTCGTGCGCATTGTT